CAGGATTCATGGGATAGGGGAATTCCACGAATAAATACTTTGTTCCAGAAGGATCGGCACACTTTAGCATATGACAAGGGGTGGAGAGTTCGCACAGATTTTAAGCAGTACCAAGTTTTGAAACAGAATCCTTTCTGGTGGACACACCAGAGGCATGATGGAAAATTATGGAACTTAAACAACTACCGAACTGATGTTATTCAAGCCCTTGGAGGTGTTGAGGGAATCCTTGAGCATACATTATTCAAAGGAACATAGTAAGTTCATTATTCTATTTAGTTTGCTTAGCTGTCAATTTCCATTGTCATCATCCTAGACCCTAAGTCTATATAACATTATGCTATTTCTTATAACTATTCATAATACATCATTACATGGGAAGATCAATCAATATCATAGCAGATTTATGTGGTTGATATGCTTGTTTAAATATAATAGATGTATAATATGCAGCATGTGTTTTGTGTGCTATTATGTATATAAGAGTTGGTACTTATATGTGGTTGATGTGGAAAACATACATGTCAGTTTTAACATATGTTATTACACCTTACTGAACTCCTTTTGATTATTGCAGCTTTCCTACTTGGGAGGGGCTCTTCTGGGAGAAGGCATCTGGTTTTGAGGAGTCGATGAAGTATAAGAAATTGACCAATGCACAAAGATCTGGGCTTAACCAAATCCCCAATCGCAGGTTTACTCTTTGGTGGTCGCCTACCATAAATCGTGCCAATGTTTATGTCGGTTTCCAAGTGCAGCTAGATTTAACTGGAATCTTCATGCACGGCAAGATTCCGACCTTGAAGATTTCACTGATTCAGATATTCCGTGCTCACTTGTGGCAGAAGATTCATGAAAGTGTTGTCATGGATCTCTGTCAGGTTTTGGATCAAGAGTTGGATGCGTTGGAAATTGAAACAGTGCAGAAGGAAACAATTCATCCCAGGAAGAGTTACAAAATGAACAGCTCCTGTGCTGACATTCTTCTGTTTGCTGCTCATAGATGGCCAATGTCGAAACCTAGTCTAGTAGCTGAGCCAAAGGATGTGTTTGATCAGAAAGCTAGCAACAAGTACTGGATAGATGTACAACTCCGTTGGGGTGACTATGATTCTCATGATATTGAGCGTTACACCCGAGCTAAGTTTATGGACTATACCACTGACAACATGTCTATCTATCCTTCTCCCACAGGTATGTTGTTTTTCCGGTTGCATTACTACTTCACATGTTTGTATCTGTCTTTTGTAAATGTAATCGTGATTGTGTTCCATGCAGGGGTGATGATTGGTCTCGATTTGGCTTATAATTTGCATTCTGCATTTGGTAACTGGTTTCCTGGGTCAAAACCCCTGCTTCAGCAAGCAATGAACAAGATCATGAAGGTATGTTAATAATAACAATTGAATTTTTTATGCTACCTTCTGATTACATCATAATTTGTACAGAAAGCAGCAAACTAATTGTTCGTCATGTGCTTGCAGTCAAATCCAGCCTTGTATGTGCTGAGGGAGCGAATAAGGAAAGGATTGCAGCTCTATTCTTCTGAGCCCACGGAACCATATTTGTCATCCCAAAACTATGGGGAGATCTTCAGCAACCAAATTATTTGGTTTGTTGATGACACAAATGTATATCGTGTTACGATACATAAAACATTTGAAGGAAATCTCACTACAAAACCCATCAATGGAGCTATTTTCATATTCAATCCAAGGACTGGTCAGCTGTTCCTGAAGGTATGCTTTCTATTTTTTCTTCTTCTTTCTGTTATATTTTGAAATCAACTTCTCTCTCTCTCTCTCTCTCTCTCTGTGTGATGGTTTTGAACTTCATATTTTGCAGGTTATCCACACAAGTGTCTGGGCCGGACAGAAGCGTCTTGGTCAATTGGCCAAGTGGAAAACTGCTGAAGAAGTTGCTGCACTTGTGCGCTCTCTGCCTGTTGAAGAACAGCCGAAGCAAATTATTGTGACTCGTAAGGGAATGTTGGATCCATTGGAGGTTCATTTGCTTGATTTCCCCAATATAGTCATAAAAGGAAGTGAGCTGCAGCTTCCTTTCCAGGCTTGTCTGAAGATTGAGAAATTTGGTGATCTGATATTGAAGGCAACTGAACCGCAGATGGTTCTGTTCAACATTTATGATGATTGGTTGAAGAGTATTTCATCATACACTGCATTCTCCCGACTAATTCTGATTCTTCGTGCACTTCATGTAAACAATGAGAAGGCAAAGATGTTATTGAAGCCTGATAAAACAGTCATTACTGAGCCACACCACATCTGGCCTTCTCTTTCTGATGATCAATGGATGAAGGTAATTTCACTGTCTTCATTTTGCTTGATGATGCATTGCTTTAGATGAATGTTTGTATGCACACAGTTTTTTATTGTCCCATCAGAGTTGCTACGATAAACTCTAGTCAATTATCTGTTACTTATTAAGATGGGTCGAAGAAATTTTAAAATGATTTTGATTTTTGGTCTTGAAAGGTTTAAAGAAGTTTCATTGGAATTGCTTTTTAATTAGATTATTTGGTTTTTTGCTGTTTTGGGGGGTGGGGGTGCTATTCGACTCTTTTTGTACTTCTACATGAATCTCCAACACGTTAAATATCTCTAAATATGGTGCAGGTTGAGGTTGCTCTAAGGGATCTCATATTATCAGACTACGCAAAAAAGAACAATGTGAATACATCGGCCTTGACACAATCCGAGATCCGTGACATTATACTTGGAGCTGAGATCACTCCACCTTCTCAACAAAGGCAGCAGATTGCAGAGATAGAAAAACAGGTGATGTATCTTTTGTGTTGGTTTAAATTGTGATGCACACAGATACACACATACATTTGCAGACATGTTTTGTGTTACTCTGTTATATATGTAGACCTTTGTTTGATGTTGTTATAGATTAACTTATATAAAATGCTGAATTTTTATTTTCAGGCTAAAGAAGCCAGTCAGCTGACAGCAGTCACAACAAGGACTACGAATGTGCATGGTGATGAACTCATTGTCACCACTACGAGTCCCTATGAGCAAAATGCTTTTGGTTCCAAAACTGATTGGCGTGTCAGGGCAATATCAGCCACAAATCTATATCTTCGTGTCAATCATATATATGTGAATTCAGAAGATATAAAGGTAGGGTTTTATCTTTAGTAATTTGATAGTTTCTATGCTTTGCTGCTATTTTCTTTGTGCTTCTTATTTGTTGACTGATGTGGGAGCCCAAATGGTTTTACAGGAAACGGGCTACACCTATATTATGCCAAAGAACATTTTGAAAAAATTCATCTGCATTGCGGATCTGAGGACACAAATTGCCGGTTATTTGTATGGGATAAGCCCTCCTGACAACCCTCAGGTTAAGGAGATTCGTTGCATTGCCATGGCACCACAGTGGGGGACCCATCAGCAAGTTCATCTTCCATCAGCTCTTCCTGAGCATGATTTTCTCAACGACTTGGAACCTTTGGGATGGATGCACACGCAGCCGAATGAGCTTCCTCAGCTTTCTCCGCAGGTATGTTTACATGACTAATGTTTCAATCCTTGTTATCTGTTGTCATATTTGTCTTTTCCTGTAGAGGAACGTGATAGACAAGAAATAACCCATGTTTAATGTTGTCTTGCAGGATCTCACCACTCACGCAAAGATTTTAGAGAACACCAAGCAATGGGATGGGGAGAAATGCATCATCTTGACCTGCAGTTTCACTCCAGGTTCCTGCTCGTTAACTGCATACAAACTTACTCCATCTGGTTATGAGTGGGGACGTGTCAACAAAGACACCGGAAGCAATCCTCACGGATACCTTCCCACACATTATGAGAAGGTCCAGATGCTTCTCAGTGACCGCTTCCTTGGTTTCTATATGGTGAGACTAGTGCATTAACCTCAGTTTGGCAATTTATGAAATTATTGGATGGTTTCCATTCTTACTTGGGGAGCTAATCTGTTTAATTGCTGCTTGGTTTTCAGATTCCGGACACAGGGCCATGGAACTACAACTTCATGGGGGTGAAGCATACGCCTAGCATGAAGTATGGCATCAAGCTTGGGACCCCTAGGGAGTACTATCACGAGGACCATCGGCCGACCCATTACCTCGAGTTCAGCAACTTGGAGGAGGGTGACACAGTGGAGGGAGATCGTGATGATACCTTCACATAAACGTTTGTTCTGGCATGTAACACAGCCTTTTTAGTTGTAGCAATCCATTTAGCAATTAATATGCCTGTGCACCTGTAAAGCTACTAGTAATGTTCATGTTTTTAGACGAGGCCTGTAAATATTTGATCTAGAGGCAAATTACAAGTTTTGTTGCCGAAGATATGAATTTTATTGTCATACTCTTCTCCCTTTCTCCTTGAGTTGGGAGGCAGAATCCTTGTATTACAACTATTCACTAATTTCTAGCCAAGTTTAGAAATATGTGCATGTGTCTTTGAGGATTTTGTCATGCTTTCTGTTTTAGAAAACAAAAACTGAACGCTTTGTTATAATTCAATTTTAAAACAGTGGTTTATTTGCTGTTTGCATTTGCCCCTTGCTTTGTTTTGGAGCTTCAGTTATGCAAGTTCCGTACAATGTGGGGGTTTTTAAGTACTGATAGTTTCCTGCATGGCTTAGGCAAGTTGGCTAGAGTATATGTGCTTCCTATTGCACCGAGGTTGAATCCCCTTTTCCGTAATTGAGATTAGTTTAAAGTAGCGAGGTTGAATCCCCTTTTTCGTAATTGAGATTAGTTTAAAGTAGATTATGGCTTGTATATAAAAAAAAAAACTGATAATTTTCTTGTCTTCGTAAAAAGCCAATTAAAGCCATTAAAGCCAATTTGCAAAAGTTTAACATTTTAACTTCTTGTGGAGTCCATAGAAGTCAGTTTTATGATCTGAGAATACAACAAATCTATGACTTGAGAAAACTTTACAAAAATGCGCTTTTCTCAATCTTTACATATTCTATCTACTGAAATTGTCTGCTTCTAACTAGCGGTATGATCTCCCTGCATAAGATGATGTGCTTGATGGGCTCCTTGGGCTATCATATCCATATTCCGAAAGATGGCGATCAGACATCACATCCTAAATTGAGAACAAACAAACAAACAAAATGAAAAAAAATTCAAGAAAATATGCAAACAAGAAAAAAAGAAAAAGAGAATATTGTGCGGTTATTTGAAGTGTTAGGTTTATGTTATGCAACTTACATGTATTGGTGAGAGTGCTCCATTACCCCCAAGCATGAAAGGATTCATGCAATCTTCAGCGATTTCTCTCAATCTGTTAAGCTCAGGGAGCACAACCTTGGCAAGATCCGGCCTGTCTTTTCTTCGCATTTCAGTGCACTGTAAAGCTAGCTTGGCAAACTTGAAGGCTTCCTCAACAGGCCAGTCAGAAACTGCAGGGTCAAGCATCTCAGTGAAGGTCCCATTCTCAATGGCCTCCTCAACAAGGTGAGCCAAACCCATTGGTGGCCTGGCTGTTATTAGTTGCAGGAGCAGCACCCCAAGTGAAAATATGTCAGATTTTGTTCCAAGCATGCCGGTTGTTTGATACTCCGGGTCGATATAACAGAACGTTCCAGCCATTGATGTTACGCGGTATTGAGAGACACAGTTGGCTACTGATGCAGGGACAAGCCTGGCCAAACCTACATCACTGATCTTGCTCACATAGTTGTGGTCTAGCAAAATGTTGCCGGGTTTTAGGTCCCGGTGCACAACTGGTTCGGGCTTGGTTTGATGAAGAAACAAAAGTCCAGTCCCAATTTCTGCAGCAATTCTGAACCTTAGCTGCCAAGGAATCACTGGGGTGTTGCCTCGCTGGAAGAGACGGTCTTCTAAGCTCCCTTTAGCCATGTACTCATAGACCAGACAACCAAACTCTGGGCAGGCTCCAACAAGGAGAACCATGTTTGGATGCCTAATGCAGCTCAGTACTTCAACCTGCATAATTAGGACCTGTTAGATATGTCTATAATGATATAAACATGATCACCACAATTAGCATTTCTATTGGAGCATTTCTATTTGCATAGTCACAACTCAGATACCTCTTTCTGGAACTGTGACCGTCCTCGGGCTGCATCTGGACGCAGAACTTTTATTGCCACCGGCGTATGGTCCAGTTCACCTCTGAATACTGGACCATAGCCTCCTTCCCCAATCTTGCGAGCTGGGGAAAATTCATTTGTTGCTGCTTCAATATCTTCAATTGTGTATTTCCTGTACCTGAGACCGTCTAGTGAATTCTTCCTCCCTTCGTCTTTTCTAAGAGCTTTTATTTCTGCTTTCCTCCTTTTTTCTGTTTCCAGTTGTGCAATCCTTTCAGCTGCTTTTGCTGCCTCTATGGCTGCCCTACTTTTAAGTTTTTCCTTCTGTGCAAGTGCAAATGCAGATTCCTCAGCTTGTCGCGCCTCTTCTATTCTACACTCTCCTTTCAATTTCCATTGGTGAAATTCCTTTTCCTGTGAAGATATGTCATTATAATTCATGCTTGAATTGTTGTTCAAAACCAATATCTTTTTTTCATTGACACCAAATCTTAAACAAAGTCCATACTCTTATAATAAGAAGTCGTATCGATACCTTATGTTTTGCTGTAACTGCCTCCTTGCAGGCCATACTGTACATCTCCATTGTTTGCTTGAGCTCTAGCCTGAGCCTCCGCATCTCATTCTCCATTTCATCCTATTATTTTCAAGGCAAACTAAGTATTAATATTCTGAACTTTTTCTGCATATATGCAACACGTATGCTATTGTAGTAAATGGGTATCTTAATGCAGTCATGGCATAAAACTCATTCAAAACTATGGCACTTATTGGTCATTTTAGATATATCAGTTATAGAAGCAACAATGGAAAATCTAACTCTAAACTTGCTCCTAACTCAAGGAATTTCTGGTACACATTATTTGACCACAAGCTTATAGTTGGAGGCATGCTCGAAAGCTTTGTAGGTTGGTGGTGTTTCCATGTTTACTATGCTGGGAAATTGTCTTACCCTGCTCGTTGATGACCATGATCTTCCACTTTCAATTGAGGACAATGAGAATTCATTCCGTCCAGAGCTCATGTCAATAAACTTGATTCCGGAGTGAGATGACGTAGAGCTTCTGTTGTCTAACTCTGAGCTGATTGAACTTTGATAGGTCATTCTTGATGCCATACTAGGAAAATTTGACATGAGATCCGTGCTTGGCCTTTCACTGCTCACCGACAACCTATCACTCTCTGGAAAGGCCTCATATGATTTGTCTGTTATAGGTATTGCTCTTGTTAATGGTGGCCTGCATTATTTGTATTTGGTTAGTACTCTTATTAACTGTATATATTCTATCATCCTCTTTTGCAGCATTAACTTTACTTCTAGCACATAAAAAAACCAGGCTTTTAGAACCCTTTAACACATTTAATTGAAACCTCATCTACGAAGCCCTACAGGTGGTGCCTGATTAATTGTTTATGATAAGGAATTATGGTTCAAATGGGAGATTAAAAAAAGTCTGATCTGGACTACAATATGGTTTTAAAATGTGTTAAAAATAGTTGAATTGAATCAGAATCAGCGCTTACTTGAGTTTAATGTTGTTTAGCTGGCTACGGGTTGAAGATTGTGTTATCTCTGATTCTGCATCAATCAAAGAAACTAGAGTCAGGCAATGGCAAAAATTAACCACATACTTATGTGGTGGGAAATAAAATGCAGCATGATGCTAGAACTAGAGGAAACAAACCTCTGGACTGCAGGTTGTGCAGCATGTGTTGTGTATCATTTGAACCATAAACTTGGCTTGGTTGCTGCTGTATTTGATTATGCAAGGGAGGCTTTGGGGTTAGACGGCCTGTGGCTGGTCGCGTATGTGTTATCTTTCCTCTGCCAATGACATATACAGTGCAAAAGTCCGGTGCCCCTTTTGACACAGTGCTTGGAATGTCTCTAGTTTTGAATCTGTTTTTTTTTTTGGGGTGAAAACAAGAAGAAGATTGATATAATTAGGACATGTGGAAGAAGAACTAACTAGGGTATCCAAAAAAGAATATTTTCTATAAGTAATTATTAATAAATAATCACCTGAGAAATCCAAAGGCGTTTCTTGATGGTGCACCAAGTACCAAAATCTCAATTGAATTAGCTGTGACGTAGTTGATGAGTGCTTTTGATATATCAGCATTCTCCAGTATGACTTCATTCCAATGAATCTGCAGTAACAATGGATGGGAAAAAAAATATCAGATCACAAGGAGATTTTTTATTTTTTATTTTTAAGTCATGTTTGAATAAATTTAAGAAGCATGCATGCATGCATTTACTCACAGCCTTTTTGGTGCAAAAGCAACGGAATGGGAGGAACAAGTCTTTGGCTTCAGCATCAACTTGGTATTTGTTCATCTTTGCAACCTCCCTCGGCAGTTCTCCACCTGCAACATAAGATGAAAGAAACCAGAGTGAAAATGGGGTTATTAAGAGAACCCAATGAGAGAGAGAGAGAGAGAGAGAGAGAGAGAGAGAGAGAGAGATACTTTTAGATTTGTTGGGAAGGGCAGGAGCAGCAGTTGGTTGCTTAACATGGACCAAAGTGAGGGATTGGCCAGGCCTGGTGAGAAGATGTTCAGCAATCCATTTGATGGCATATTCACTTCCTCTATCCTTGTCTATTGCCAATGCCACAGCCTCTTCTCTCTTTTCTGCTTGCCTTCTTATTCCCATTTTCTCTTGATCATAAAATTACATTAAATTAATACAAAAATTTCAACCAAAAAAAGAAGTTTGTAACCAGTTGAGATTACCAGATTCCTTATTAAAATAAATTCTGTTGAGCACAGAGTGTTTGAGAAATCTCAAATAGGCATCACAAATTCTGAGAGAATTCTCAAAGTTGCTTAATTTAGAAGCTATAAGCTATTTTGGCATTGTTGAGGAGCTGTTAAACTGATTGTAATGAAGAGAAGTTGAAGTGTAAAACAGAAGTTGACTTATCAGGGGTGGTGGTGCCAGAAAATATCAGTTGGGAGTTGCAGGGAAGTCCAAATTTGAAAACTCAAAATGATTTTTGTTTCACAGTAGAATCAATGGCAGTGGGAAATTATTTTTACTTTCTACTTTTAGTTTTTAAAAACCAAATGGTATCCTAACTTTAGACAGTGTAAAACGACAATGGCATCCTAGTTTTTTGACACAACTAACAGTAAGGATGTGGGTGGAATAAAGGAAATTCGTCGTTTTCAGTTTGATATGGGTGGAGAATAAAGGAAAGTCTAAACTTGTAAGTGCTTTCTAAAAAAGCACCTAACAAGAATAATTTTTTTTACAAGAAATCTTTTAGATTGCATTGTGGAAAGGAGCTAGAATGAAAACTATTCATGACAGTCCATCTAAATTCAAAACCATTCTGATAAACTACATAAGCCCCAATTCGCGTATAAAAACACATATGTACGTATTTTTTAAAAATATTTTCATTTTCGTGAAGTTTTCAAGATACGGTGAAAACACCCATTTAAAAAATAAATAAATAAAATACCATACATGTACTTCATATTAAAAAGTGTAAATAATTGACAATAAAATACTCTATTAGGGTTGAAATTTTCACCATATTTTTTTATTTATATAAATCTATTAAATAATATATATATATATATATAAGGAATATGTTGAGAATGATGGAACATTCAAAATACTAAAAATTACTCTTGGTTAATGAATTTATTAAGAAGTGAAACTTTTCATTAAATAAGGATAATATAATAAATTAACAATTTTTCATATTAATATTTTTTAAAATCAAAATAATAACCAAACTCATTTTCTCTTTCTTAATTCTAAAATGAGAAAAACAAAAATAAAAATCCAATTGACACGTGTGTGCCAAGAGTCTAGTATATATATGTGTATTTGATTCGTATTTTTCCAGTCCCGCATTTTACTAAACTTCCCCAAAACTATTTTACAAATTTCATACCCAATCTAAGCCCAGCCCATAAAGAAGCAAAAATATACCCGTTGGCCACTTTGAGTCCCATTCCCCACTCTCATAAATAAGCACTCGCTCATCTTAACCCCGCCACACTCTCCTCCTCTCTCACACAATAAGAAAGAAGCCAATACGACACAGGCATAACGGTCTCTCCGCCTTCAAAGCCAAACCAAAAAATAAAAACCCTTCATTTCTTCACTCTCTCTTCTCTGCAACTCCCAAGCTAAAACCCTAACCAGTCACCACTATGCATTGCATTGCTGCAAACATTCCTCACAGCTAACTCTGCAAAACGACACCGTCATCACAATTTCGGGAATTTTTTTGTTCTTCTTTTTCTATTATATTCTGGTGAATCCCAACACTTTCTATTTTGGTCAACTTCAAATCCTCCATGAGTTTTTTTTTTTTTTGCCTTTTCATTTTTTGTTTTGATCGGATTTCTAAACTCTATAAGCAAAGTGTGCTTAAGCTTGAATAATTGCAGTGGTAGCAGTAGAGAATGAAGATTTTGAAACTGATAGAGAGGCGGTGTTTGGCTCCGCTCAAGCGAGACGACGTCGTTCGTGAGAGTGATGCGCGGACCTTCACCAACCACCACTCGTACAAGAAACTCCCTCAGCTTCCGCTCCTCAAGCTCTCCGTTCTCAAGCTCGATGGCTCTGTTTTCGGTAACTTTTTTAAAAACTTCGTTCCTCGTTTCGACTTTGGTTCTGGGAAGCTGCTTTTTGAAATGGAGAAAATCTGCTTTTGGAAAAAGCTATTTTGGTTAGAATGAGTATCTTTAGGATACAACATCTACATAAAGTTAAACCTTTCTTGCATCTCTTGTCTTATGCTAAAATTATTACCCGAAATGTCTTTTTCCTTTCTTTCTTTTTTTTCTGTCTTTTTTAATTTTGTCAAAATCATGGGGTCCATTATCACTCACCCAAGTTTCTATTTACCTTTTATGGATGAAATAACCTTAAAGGGGATTGAGATACACACAGACATGCTACACAGTATAATTAATTAGAACTCATGCTTCTATTTGAATGATAGTGAATTAAGCATACCCTAGCTTACATATTGTTGCATTTATGTTTGGTCCACAGTTCGGCCCTTTTATGTATGCTGTTGTCCACATTAATTAACTTCTTATTATGCAATTTAGCCAAGTGATGTTATTTCGTGCTTCAATTTGCAATAGCAATGTTCTTCTTATTATGCTAATGTTTGTTTTCTGGTACATGCAGCTTCAGTTCATTAGGCATATGTCCATCAGCAACTCACCATTAAAAAGACGGTCCAAGAGTGAGAGTGTTCCTTACAAACAGCACTCAATGTAAGAATCATTCCCAGGTTTTTCCTTATGATTTATTTAGGGGGAAATGGTAATCAAGTTTAAAGATGCATTAAAGCTATTTAATATTTACCTGAGGCTGGAAAATTCTGAGGGAAATAACGAGACTAAAACGGGAATAGCCTTCAGCATATTGCTCTCATGAGTTTTCATTTCTTCGTTGTGACTCTTAAACCAAAGTTATTATTCTGGACGCTCCAAATTTTGGTGTACAAGAAATAAAACGTCAGAAAAAGCCTACTAGAGGCGATAGGCTGTATAGAGTTGGTTAATTGAGGTGGGATCTTGCAAAAATTTCCACATTTTGATTTGTTTTTTCTCTGTGCACTATTATTCTTCTTTTGTTTTCTTTGCTCTTTATTGTTCATAGATGCATGACTGAGAAATGGAGTACTGGATTTTGACTTAAGGTTGACATATGGATCAAATGGACACAAGGATGAAGAAAAGAGTGGTTTGGAGGGTTCTGACAACAATGCAGTTCATGAGGACAACTCCAACTCCAATGAAGATCTGGAGGAAGGCCCTGTGCCTGAATTCAAGGTGGTTCACTACTTGAGTGGGTGGCTCTCATGCTCCAAGTTCATGGGGGGTCTCAAAAAAGGGATCCGAAGACAGGGTCCATCCATCGAAATCCAGGCTATTAGGAAGCTGATCTAGAAGGGTGCAACTGTAGGGTAGTTAGCACAGAATCCACTTGGAAAGTTTGAATTGCCATGGCCTGTCCGAGCTAGGATGTGTTATTTGGCTTACATTTTGTGTTTGTGAAGCTATTGCATGCCAGATTAAGGCTTAAGATTCTCCACAAGTTCAACATCCAGTTTCTATGTCTAGGTAGGATTAAAAGAAGAAACATCGATGTTGGACTTGTTTATTGTAAATGTTAGTTCGGTGAGATCCATGTCGATAATTTTAACTCTTCTCCCCTTAACCGATCTTGAATGGAGGAAATATTAATGGTAGAAACAATGACTGTTTTTCAGGGTAAAATGCTCATGTTTATGTGGTTTAAATCAAAATGTTTTTCTACTTCGTTGACTTGTGAGATAAGTCACTAGTAACTTATACTGTTAGAAAAAATAAATTTTAGGTTAAACCAAAGATATCACACCTAATTTCAAGTTTCAACTAAGAACACTGTGGGTTGGACTCACCTCCTTGTATTCGAGTTCGAACCATCTTCCGGTGCATTTAAATATTTTTAAAATTAACGCCTTTTTTCATTACAAATAAATAAATAAATTGAGTAACAATAAAACTAGTAGAATTTTGGGTTGTTTGTTTGCACAAAATGGAATTAAGTTGTAGAAATCAATAAAATTATTCTATATTTTTTCTTTTGACAATGTCGATATTCTAAACTATTAACCAAGATGTTAACAAAAGAAGTAGAGTGTATTATTTATTTCTTTGCATGATTACGAATTATTAAAAAAGGCCAAAAAAGAGAGAAGAATTATTTAAAATCCCAACAAGTAACCAAAAAATGTGTGCCCCACAATTAAGTATCTTCAATCTATTAAGTGGTCCAAGATTTTGGATAATTGATTCAGATTCCTAACACGAGTCATACTACTCTTTGTATAAATTCTAGTGACGTGTCTGGACAAGCAGCTTCCACGTGGGGCTTCCAAAGACTTGGCGATCAGATAGACAGGCCGCACAGAAGATACCATATCCCCTGTGGTAATTCCAGTTCCGCACTCTTCTGCTTCTGCTTCTTCTTCTTCAACTTACTCGCATTCGCATATATCAGAAAAAACCAAATTATTATTTATTAAAAAGAAAAAAGAAGAAAAATTTCGTTGGGTCCGTTCTAGTTTCATTCCTGGACGTCACAGAGTCTCCCTTTCTCTCTAGTCTCTGCTACTGGTATGTTTGTGTATGTTTGGTTGCTGAGAAACTATGGGAAAATAAAAAGAAAATAACTGTGTGTTTGGATTAAACAACAGAAGAAAGATAAAAGGAGTGATTCTACTTTTCAATTTTTATATTGGTCTCATTTCCTTCCTTTTCGCATCAGGCAAATGGGTTTGGCCGGTTTTGTACAATTATCGTTGTTAATTCCATGTGTTTTTGTTTCCATTTGGGCTGTGTGGATGGATGCGTAGATATAAACATACAAGTCATAGGAAGATAAATTTTTGCCGCTAAATAGAGTTTCGTTTGTATCAGAATGATTAATATGGAATTTGATGGAGTTTTAAATCTAATATATTAAAACGCTCTTTGATTTATGAACTGAATTAGAAAATTTTCTACGTTTTTGTGATAATTGTGAACTTTTATTTAGAAAATTTGGTGGTTCAAGCTTTATCTGAAGGATTCTATACCTGATGACCTTTGTGAAATCACCTGTTAATGTTATTTTCTCGTTCTAGAGTGAGGACCTTGATTATTTACTGTGAGATAGACATATTAAGGATGCACAAATTGTTGACTTGTGGCTTTATTTTTCATCCAGATACATAGCTGATTAAATGGATGAGCAAGTGGGAAAAGCAAAGCCGGCAATTTCTTTTGAGTATGAGCTCTTTGAGGGGGACCCTGATCACCTAAGAACTGTTGTAGCTACACTCACGCCTACACTCACTCCAACTAGTCCGTGGATCAATCCTGCCTCACTCAACTTTAAGTACCGAATTGGGCGAGGTCCCTTTGGTGACGTTTGGCTAGCAACTCATCATCAGTCTGCAGATGATTATGAAGAATATCATGAGGTAGCTGTTAAGATGTTGCATCCTTTGAAGGAAGACGACAGACAGGAGTTTGTCCACAAGTTTGAAAGGTTATTTTTTAAGTTCCGCAGAGTCCATGGGGTTGGTTGGCTTCATGGTATCTCCATTGTTGATGGGAAGGTGACTGCCTGGATTTTTTTTTTTTTTTTGGAGTTGTATCTTTTTGTTTTGCTTTTGTACTCTGATATGGGTATAACTTGATTTGTACTCATTTTAATTCCTGGCAGATCTGCATTGCTATGAAATTTTATGAGGGATCAATTGGCGATCGAGTTGCTCAGATGAAGGGTGGCAAGCTTCAACTTTCTGATGTCTTAAGGTTATGTTATTGGGAGTGTATATTTTCTTCTTTCTGAAGCATACAATTGATACAACTGGTGTTATTGACCCAATAATGCTAATGGTTCCAGGTACGGAATTGAGTTGGCGAAAGGAATTCTAGACTTGCACTCACTAGGGCTTCTGGTGCTAAACCTGAAACCTTCCAATTTCCTTTTAGATGAACACGACCAGGCAGTCCTAGGAGATTTTGGGATTCCGTATCTACTTCTTGGGATTTCATTGTCTAATTCTGATATGGCTCTTAGACTTGGCACCCCAAACTACATGGCTCCAGAACAGTGGGAACCAGAAGTGAGAGGCCCTGTATCCTTCGAAACGGATGCATGGGGCTTTGGTTGTTGCTTTGTTGAGATGTTGACTGGTGTTCAACCCTGGTTTGGGAGGTCAATCGAAGAAATTTATCATTCAGTTGTGATCAAGCAAGAAAAACCACCTGTTCCAAATGGTTTGCCTTCTGCACTTGAGAGTGTCATAAATGGTTGCTTTGAGTATGATTTCCGCAATCGGCCTTCAATGGAAGATATCATACATGCTTTTGAAAGGTATTCTCTCCTACTTATGTAATAATCTCACTTACAGTAACCCAAACCTTTTCTCATCAAAACTTAACAACCTGAAGGCAACAAAGTACTTGCCCCTGTCCAGTTGACTGTGTGTAGCCTCAATTTTTGATCCTTTTTATCCTCTTAGCCACACCAAGCCCTATCATCTTTTTACACCTCTTACATCCCTGGCTAGATATTTTCCTTAACCCTTAGCTATCAGTTAACCCATTTATACCAGTTACATTCTTTTGTTTCTGTCGAGAAATTCCTGCTGTTTCACGATTCTGCAGGGCCCAATATTCTATTTCCAAACTACAAATCTTGAATCCCTTTTTAAGCATCCAAAACCTTGAGGACTTATTGACATTCACACTTTCTTTTCCATACACTATTAATTAAGATTGCAGCTTCAAAGTGGTGCTGCTGTCATAGAATTTGTAACTTTAATTTTCTGTTGGCCTTTTTTGTACCAATGAAATAGAAATGAAAAATTCAGTATTATGATTATCCTGCATTTTATTTTATTTTATATCTTTGTATGCTGATTATGTGCAACTGAACTTGCAGCTCACAAAATGATGCTCAAAGTGATGGAGAATGGCTTGGTTTAGGAAGCAGTACACCTGCTGGAAAATTTAGTAGCAGTGGTTATACTACATGGTATCTCTTGAAAGATCGTCTCCAGGTTGGAGACATAGTTCGCTCAAGGAAGCCCCTGAATGCACGCAAGCCCCAAGCTATGGATGTCCCTGAAGGAAGTGTTACTGGTCTGGAGACTGATTCCGATAGAGATGGTTTTGCCCTGGTGAAGATCCCTGGAGAACGCAACCCTGTAAGAGTACTGGTGTCAACAGTTGAGAGAGTCACATCTGGCTTCGCAGTGGGTGATTGGGTGAGCTTGAAGGGTGAATGCAGGAAGCACTCTCCTGTTGGAATTCTTCATTCCATACAGCGTGATGGAAGTGTTGCAGTTGGATTTATTGGGTTAGAGACTCTATGGAGAGGAAAGTCATCTGACCTTCAAATGGCTGATGCATATTATGTGGGAGAGTTTGTGAGGCTCAAGGCAAACGTGCTCTCTCCCAGATTTGAGTGGCCTCGCAAGAATGGAGGAGCTTGGACAACGGGACGGATCTCACAAGTCCTTCCAAATGGTTGTCTGGTTGTGAGGTTCCCTGGAAGGCTGGTATTGGGAGACGAATCTAATAGCTTCTTGGCAGATCCAGCTGAAGTAGAGCTAGTGTCCTTTGATACCTGTCCTGGGGTGGTCCAAAAGTATCAACATATTGAGGATTTTCACTGGGCTGTAAGGCCTCTCACAATTGCTTTTGGTCTATTTACAGCCATGAAGATCAGCTTATTTGTTGGACGAAACGTAAATGCAAAGCTGAAGGGTCGAAGAAACTCAATGCGGAGGGATGGGAATAGTCAGGATGGTCAGAGTGGTGGCAATACAGCTTGGCTTCCTCCACCGGTTGCGAATCTTTTCAAAGAAGGTGTTTCTACTGCCAGTGCTAGGTAGTTTCCTTTTGTCATCTGGGCATGGGTAAGTTTGCTGAAACCTATCCATAGCAAAGATGAACTCAGGCCAAAATGTACTCTTAATCCGAGCGCATATGGGGTGAGACTAAAAGTGAACTTTGGTGGTGGAAAAGGTCCGAAAGCTGTTTCGGAACAAAAGAAAAAATCTGTATGTAATTAGAAGGATGATGCAATATGTATATATAAAGAATATGCCATTGCTACTAGCTTTCAGTGTAAATAAATATATATCTAATGTTCTGTGGAAATTCTCCCTCTGTTGCAGTGCAAAAATCTATATCTGATTCATATATGCAGGAAGCCATATAGGTTGAAGTGTTGGCCCAAAACGAAGAGCAACTGCATGTATTTTTTTCCCTTTCTTTCCTTTTTATACCCCAAAAGAAAAAGAAAAAATTTATCCAATTTCCACGCTGGATATTAAAATTTGTTTTCAGATTTTTTAATAAATTGAAGCCAAACTCTCTGAGCTGTGGAAAAGCTGACTGTGAAAGGCCAAGAACTGGCCATCGAGCAAAAGGCCCCAACTAGAGAAATTTCTTGTAAATGACCAAATTAGCCCTGGCCGTGTTATAAATTAATGAAATTCAGTGTGTGCTTTCTTGGCATTTCCTTTTTCTTCCCTCCAGTTAGTCAGTAGCAGTGGCTTAGCGTTACGGTTCAGTTTTCTGGCTCAGGAAAAGAGAGAGAAAATCCAGGAAAACCATCAACGTAGAGAACTGCAACACAAAAGAAAAGAGAATGAAGGGGATTTCATCTCAATCCTCCATGTAAGTAGTTCTCTGCCACCTCCTTCTTTTAGCTCTGTTTGGCTTTTGAGAAATAAGAAAAGAAAAGGTGAGAAAATAGTGGATATGGGGCTTGTCACAAAGAACCCAAATGTCCTTTCTGGTTTTCTTTTGGAACCGTTTGGTTGCTGAGAAAATAAGTAAGAACAAGGAAAATGTGGGACTAATGAGAACCCAAATGTTCTTTCTAATAACAAACCCAAGTATTTTTCTTTTTCCCTTGGAATTTCTACAGGAACTACTCTAATGAAGATGACTACGAACTGCAAGAAGAAAATGAAGGATTGTTAAGGAGAGACGTAGGAGAAGGTGATTACGCAATTGACGACAGAGCAGAGAAGTTTCAGTGCATGAGCCTTCACAAGCGAGACACCACAAAACGAGGTGATTAAGATAATTATCTCCGATTTTCGTTGGAAATTAAGACAATTAAAATTTATTTTATCAAAGTAGCCAAAACCCATAAATTTTCTTCCTCATGTATGTCTCAGAAAATAAAATGAGATGTGGTAAAAATTTGAATGCTAGATATTGCCTCTTGCTTGCTTTCATTCTTTATCTGGGAAGAACAAGAACATTGTATATTCTTTTATTCAGGACCAAGAAAACAAAAACAAGATTTTCCTGGCATGAAATGGTTATGCTTGAGTAGAATGTCCTAATTGCGGTAACACATTCAGTCTGAAAAAACTGATGAATGTGAGTCTATGGATCAGGAACATCAAGTGAAATTTTGTTGTAAATTATATTTTTTATGGAAATGGTAAACTATTTCGGGAAATTTCTGGCGGAAGTATTCAATTAGTTTGTAAAAGGCTATTCGTAGTTCTAGTTTTAAAAGGGAGAGTTTAGAGCTTCTTATGTAAAGAATTAAAGCCACATACTAGAAGACCATGACCACATCCACTTTCCACTAAACGCATTCAAATGGTTTTCCTGTATATACCTAGTTTCTGTGGATCCAGCAAGCCAGCTTGCATAACGTGTGAAAATATATTTATATTCAGGTGAAGAGCTATCTTTTCAGAAGAATGGTCTGTGGAGGCAAGAACAGAAGGGCAGAGTTGCAAGGCTAGAGAATTGGCTCAAGGTAAGGTGGGAACTTGAGGAGATAATTGAAGAACAACTGAACAGGTTCCATGCCCACTACAACTTGGATATGGTCCCAACCCGGCTGAAGGGCGTTGCCCAAATCCTCATGCCCAGTTGGACTCCACCTGACGAGCTGGCCTCTATAGCTTGGCTTGGTGATTGGCGGCCCTCTGCCATTCTGGAGCTCGTGCGTGGCTTGTCCCTCTCCTCCTCCTCCTCCTCAGCATCATCATCATCCTCTTCTTCAAACTCTATTGGCACCGAACAGCTCTTATCACAGCTCATTTATGAGATTCGGATTGAAGAGGCAATACTTGATGAGGAAATGGCTGAAATCCAATCTACATGTATTCTTTACCTTCCATTTGCTCCAACCAACATCCAATCAGGTGGAGCTGCCCTGGCTTGTGTTCAGTCTGAGTTCAAGAAGATCGAAAGGGTGATCACGAGAGCTCAACAACTCAGGTTTGTTTGCTTTCCTTTGATATTTTTTCCTGAATTGGTAACTGTTATAACTTCAAGAAACATGATAGTACTCGACAACCGTGTTGTAGGGATTTTGCTTCCTGCCTTTGTTAGGTTATTGTCGTGTCTTGGCTTTTGCTCTTTCTATTCCTTATAAGTATCCCCTTCAAAGGAATAAGGGCATATGCAATAATGACTAACTACCAAATATTTGATTCTGTACAACAGGTTCAAGGCACTGGAATTGGTGTTGAAGAAGGTACTGAGTGAAACCGATGCAGCAGAGTTCCTAGTGGCATTTGAGGGAATTCAAGACTCAATTCACCAGTTTGCAACAAACCAGAGGTTCCAAAAGGGTCCAGTCACGTTGCCTGTCAAGGCCTTGGGGTCTAGCTGAAAACATAGAAGTGTCATGAATTACTACCCAAATCAGAAACAGTCAGTCAAGGCTTTGGGGCCTTTCCAACTTACCATTTTTACTCAGCCTATTTGTTGCTGATGATACCGTGTCATAACGTCAGCTCTGACCGAGCCGCTGTGGAGGACAATATTGTGTTGTCTAACCGTTCTCAGCAATTGAAATCTGAGCATGGAGTTGATTGTGTAAAAGAAAATAGTAAGGGGTCGAATTTTGGTGAATAATATAGTTCAGTATTGTGAATGCAGTTTAATAAAGTTTTCATTCAAACTTGCATTCGGTTGCGACTTTATGAAAGCAGTTTCCAGCTAATATTTTGCTGGTAAGATATGAAACTGATTGCTAAATTGCATGGATAGAATTGGGAAAAACTGGAGTTTGTGCCAACATAGGAGCTGGAATTGGGTGGAAAGCCGAATAAATGGTTCATACATACATGGGATTTCGCCACGTGGTGTTATTAGGATATGTGTTATAATATGAGTGGACAGCATAGTTGATACGTCATGAATTAATTAGTGACACCAAAAAATAATAACCAAATCAAACAATCCATGTGATTTTAATTTCATTTTTACACTAAATTTTTTGATATTTGACTAAACTAAACTAAACTAAAATGTAATTTATGGTAATGCCCAATTTGACTTCTTTAGGACATCATCTTAACTGAAAAAACTTAGATTAATTTCCTTTATTTTTATTTTTTGAGGAAAATTTTCTTTATTTTTTGTACGTGCTTTTGGTGGTTAAGAACTTTACCTTTTCCAAAGAAAGAATCTTGTCAGACTAATGTTCACTTCCGAAGCAAAAATATCAAAAGGCAAGATGATAAGACCTATAAGTTATAACTTATAACCGAGAGAGGCAACTAATTAGAGGTATCAAACGCATTGGGGCGAGCCCAATTAAGTAAGGTCTGGCACGACACGACACGGCTCGTATCTTTAAGCGGACTGAAACGAGATAATTAGGCCCAATGGGACAGGTCAGGCCTTGACCTGTTATGGCCATGCCGGCCTATTTAAAGTCAAATTTGGCTTTAAATCGCCCCATTTAGTGGCTCGGCACGAGCAAGGCCCGATCCCTATATGGGGGACTACGGGCTTGGGGAGAAATTGATGATTTTTCTAAATAGGCAAGCCTGGCACGGCCCATTTATTAAATGGATCAACTCTAAATGGGTTGGCACGACTCGTATGATGCCTTACAACTAATGACATGTTGGCATGACTCGTTTGATACCTTACAACTAATGACATGTTTACTCATTAAGTTATTAGGAATGAGTATTAGAATAATTCCAAATCCTTCTTTTAGTGTGTTTACTAACATATACTTATTGTCATTATTCCAATGCCTAACATCTCCCTCACTCACTAACACATAAAAAATAAATAATTATGTGGATTCCATGTTAAAATTCATAATCAAACAATCTCAACACTAAAAATGAGTAAAATCATGAATCGGGGAACTAATTTATTCTTAATTTCAAAAATATTTGATTAAGAATTTTAACGTGAATTCTCATAACTTTTGATTCCTTATATTTCATCTGACTTTCCCATTCTTGTGAGTAAACATGCCATAAATAGAAAATAAATAAATGTGTTATCTTCCTAATAAGCTCCATAATTTTAAATTTAATAGTCTAACGTCTAATTGTTATTGTTAACAAATTCCGAAGATTCAAAACTAAAAAGTCCACCAACGCGCGCATAGAGCGCGTGCTATATCATCTCCTCGACCGTCTCTTTCCCCCACCACTCAACTATATATAAATAACAAATGCTCCCTGGCAATTAGAAGGCCGAACCAAACAAAACAAAGCACCAAACACGAAACCTAACCCCAAAGGCAAAACCCATAACTTTTTCCCCTTTCTCACCAAATCCCTACAATCCCCTCAAAACCCTAACCCTAATTTATCTTTAAAATCATCCGATTTGAATCGGTGGTGTGGTTGATTCGTTCGGAATTGAGAGCCGAGAGAGATAGAGTGAAGGATGTCTGCGGCAGTGTGTGGAAGCAAGAGGTCCTTTTTCGAAGAGCTTCCTCCATCGCCACCTCTCTCAAAGAGGCTTCGCTGTTCTTCTTCTACATCTCCCATTCGCTTCTCTGCTCCTTATCTTCTCGATCAGCTTCGCTCGCTCTTCCCTCAGATGGACCCCCAGGTATTAATGGATATGGTCTTCTTGTTACTATATGTTATTTTTGGTTTTGGATTCCTATTGCCTGTTTGATTTCTGAGAAAAAAAGGTATTTTGGAATTTGGGAAATTTGTAACTTGTTTCTATTTAATACATATGATAGCGTAGATTTCTCACATCGTTTACTTTGGTACAAAAAGATTTGTTTTCTAGTTCCGTGGTAATGCGGGGACGATTTACTGCCATGGGTCTAGTGGACCATTCAGTTCATGTAAAGGCTGATTTTTCATAACAAGGCCGAACAACAATGTAGAATTAACCTTTTCAAATCTAAGTTTGATTTAATAAATTTTTGTAATTTCTTGGATGTATTCAGGAAACAAATAATTGATTTGCTTTGAAAATCTTTAGGTTCTTGAGAGAGCATTGGAAGAATGTGGCAATGATATAGATGCTGCCGTCAAGATGCTGCATGAGCTTCGCATAGGATCTGCAGAAGAAAATTCTGCCTCTGCTGCAGAACAAGATGATTCGGTAGCTCAAGGTATGATGTATTCCATACTTCTTCTGCTATACTCAGTTTCGTTCTTTAGTAATCTCTGTAATAGCTTTTTATTTTTATTTTCACTTACCATTATTACTGGTGGCTTAATTTATACGTGTTAGTTTGGATAGAACTTGACTGATGATGTATGAGGCTTGCCATTATCCATGGTTACTTTTGTTTCAGGGATGGTAAAAGTTCTGTCATGTTTTGAAAAATAAGAAAGTTCGTTAACATGTTATCAGTAAGATTCTATTATTTGTAAAAAGTGTTTTATGCATACAACTCTATGTCTTGCAGATACAGATTGTCTTGTTTGTGTGTTTATGCGTTTTGAGTGGCATTACTAGTTATGATGAGCGCTAAACTGTGCTAATCTGTTCACTTCTGTCATCAAGGTTGTAATGAACTGGTTCTTGTTTGTATTTTGAAAGATGGAATATTATTATGCAAACCTGCAAACCACTGAAATCAGCACCTTTTCACGCTGTTTATGTTTTTTTTTCAGCTAGTTTTTCCAGTATTTGGGTAATGAACAATATTCAGTTTTGAAGAACAAAGCTTTGGTTCCCATAAGGGAGGAAAAGTTCTGAAATTTTTGCTACATTATAATATATGTTTTATGTTTCGGATTGCTGTAATTTTTAGCTCACAAACAATATAGAAAAAGAAAAGGAAAAGGCCACAGGAATATTTGTTCTATTCTGTTATTTCAACTTGTTCCCGAGAACAGTTGATCGTTGTTACCTGAATCCTATCATTTCAAGTAAATAATTCCATTAATAATATGAACATTCTTCCATCAAGCTGCATTTAATTGGTTTTTTTTTTCCACGGGTAAGAATTTGAATTTTGCTTGTTTATTTACCAGGTATATTGACTAATGATGAATCTGCAGCTGCTTCTGAGAATCCATCAGTTCCTAGCAACCTGCCTGTAGATGGTGCCGAATGGGTTGAACTGTTTGTCAGGGAAATGATGAGTGCCAATAGTGTGGATGATGCTAGGGCCCGTGCTGCAAAAGTGCTAGAGGTTTTAGAAAAATCCATCAGTGCACGTGCTGGTGCTGAGGCAACCCAAAGTTTTCAAAAGGTGAGTAAATTGTTTCTGATTCTGTTATGTGTTGGCCTTATCTTTGATAATTGGTCAACCTGATGTTTGTTCTTTTGTTCCATACCTTTAGTATATGGATAACAGGTCCGATAGGTTTGAAGTAAAAAAAATTTAAATTGACCCATCTTTGTAGATGGGATGCTAAGCCAGGGATGGTACAATTTATCTTTTTATTTTATTTATTTTTATAATGATTTGTGTTTATGATTTTATAATAATCAGGAAAATATGCTGCTGAAACAACAAATTGAAGGACTGATAAGGGAGAATACCATTCTTAAACGAGCTGTTTCTATCCAGCATGAACGTCAGAAAGAGTATGAGGAGCGGAACCAAGAATTCCAGAATCTGAAGCAGTTGGTGTCTCAATATCAGGAACAGTTGAGAACACTTGAGGTCAGAATCATAATTGTCTGGCTACTCAAATAATTGTTATTTTTTTGTCAGGAACAAGATAATGAACGATTTGTGTGGCACTTTAGTATCAGGATGAATATAAATGCTTCTAAAGATAATATGATTGAATACAGAATGTTTTGAAGGGACATAGAATAATTTAAAATTTCTGAAGATGCGTAATTTTTTTTTATAGGGTTTGATTTGATCAGTAGAAACTGTTGCTGGATATCTAATGTGATTGATTGAGTAATTAATTCCTGAAGCTGGGATGGAGGGAGTTAGTGGCTGTGTTTCTGTTAGGATTCCCTTAATGTCTTTCAAATGATATAGTAAAAGATCTGAAACCATATTTAGTACTGGAATGTGATGCGAACCTATTATTGAAATGGAGGAAATATGAGAAAGTTGTGCAATTTGTTTATTGTGTCCAATGGATTCTCTTGCATATGTTCAGAGAACCTATTGGTCTATGATCCATATTAACTATACTATGCAATCTTGCAAGAGAACAGTACCTCTGCATCTAGTTTACTATGCAAAGAAAGTGCATTTAACTTTGTTTTTCCTGCTCACTAATCTTGAGAAATTTGTGTGGTTTGTGACAGGTTAACAACTATGCCTTGACAATGCATCTGAAGCAGGCTCAGCAAAGCAACTCCATCCCTGGACGTTTTCATCCTGATGTCTTTTAATGAAAGTGACCAAATTTAGCATTTTGATGATATAGAGTCGGCAATACATGCTCTGTCGTGAGCCCGTTTAAGATTGTGTCTGTTGAAGTATGCGCATTTGTAGATTGAGGCTGCTTTATGTCTTTGATATTCCCAGTCCAGGTCTGTGGCGATCTGTCAATCAATTGTGGAATCGCTGAACTATTCGGTTTATATTGGTGAATTTGTATTTTACATCTATGTAGTTTGTAAAAGATGGAATTTAACATAAAGGTGAGAACATGATTGTTGGTGGTGCATATAGTTGAGCTGCATTCCTTCTACCGTAATGCCCGTATTGACTTCAGAATGTGGTTTGCACTGTTTATCTGAGACACTCAGGCAGACACTTGCTAAAATTCCATGCAGTCTCTGGCTCGGTTCCGCTACCCTCCTTCCCTTTAGCTGGCTAAATGTGTTCATGATGTTTGGATTTTTATTCCCATATATCTTAGTAATATGCATGACTCTATTCCCCTGTAGATTCTCTATCAATTGTTTGTACAAACCTAGTTTTGAGAATCCGGTCCGGTGGGCTTAATATATGCCCACTTGTATTGTTGTTTTTACTGCCAGTTTTCCTTTTCTTGCTGTTGAACTATTATTTTTTGTCCTCGAGTTTTAACGAGCTTTGGTTTATTCCATTAGCTTTCAATTGTTTAAATTAGTTTTTCCTATTGAAATATGAGGCATTTTCTTTTCTTGGGCGATATGTGGTTTATCTATTACATTTTTGCTTGGGTATTTTGCCGAATTGCCCCTTGAACTTGTACTTAATTATCAATTTACCCGACCTTGTTTTTTAGAAAATAAAGGACTTGAACTACATTTTATTCTCAATTTTTCTCTTGCTGTTTAAATTCTCAACATTTCATTTAAATTTTTATTAAATCATTATTAAAAAAAAAATTTAAAATACTTTTAAGAAAAGAAAACTCCCTCCTCACAGCCGTCACCTTTCTTCCCCACCATCGCCATCACGCCTCTCCCCACCATCACAGCACCTAATCGATCTCCGACCCAACCCCAGACCCAAGACCACCCCCTTCCCCACTGCCGCCTCCCTTCTCAGCAGCCCACCCTCCCACATCAACTACACACTCTCTTCCCTCTACAAATTTACTCTACACACCCAATCACCATATAGCCAGCCCCTCATCTCACCGACCCAGAACAACTCCTCCCCATCTCCCAGCTCAGCTACTCCAATGCCACTCCAATCCTCGATAGAAATCACAACAGCCAATGACCACCCCCTTCCTCACCCACAACTCACCCCCACATAGAAAAAACAAAATAGAAAATCGTATCCCTACCCTCAAACCCAAACCAATTCGCACCCCGTTCCCTCTGATTTTTTGTCCCCCATAGCCTTCAAGGTCCAGACCCCTTTACCTCACAAGTTCATCACCCCTTCACCAAAATCTCAACCCCAAGTCGCACAATCCATTAATGGATTCAAGATCTGAATATATGGGGTTGTTTGAAGGGTGGGGCTGATGGATCTGGTTGGGGCCAGTACGAGAGAGAGAGAGAGATGAAATGACCAATGACCAATGACCAATTTGCCCTCATATTTAACGGCAAATTGGATGAAATGTTGATAATTGACGGTAGCAGTGTGTTTAGATGAGGGAAATAAACTTGAGATTTTGACAAAAGTCAGAATTTCTAAATTGACATGAACTAATTCTCGTGTTTGGATAAAAAAACATAGAAATTTAGAAATTCCACGTGGGAAAAAATATGGAATTTGAAGATCATAAATCCCAACTTTAAATTCTATCTAAAAGTCGTCATTTCTAAAATCCCAAGAGAGATTAAGTTTTTAAAAAAGATAAAGGTTAAATTCCGTGTTTTAAATCCATCATCCAAACAAGAAACTTTAAAAATTCTAGAACATTAATTTCCGTCATTTATGAAATCCTTTGTACTTTTAAATTTCCTCATCCAAACGCACTGTAGGGGAACATTGAGAATAAAAATTAATTCGAGTCCTTAATTTTCTATATAAAAAAAAGGTCAGGGGTAAATTGATAGTTAGGTACAAATTCAGAGGGCAATTCGACAAATTACCCTTATTGCTTTTACTGTGTACAACTACAACATTATACTTGAAATCTTCTTGTACACTTCTCAAAGATACAATAAAACATAAGTTTCTATAAAATCGAATGTACAATATGGTTCTCGTAGACCTCATATATTATATGTATTTTCACATATTGCTAAGTAAAAAGATTATACATTAAATTTTTAAATAAACAATAATAAAAAACTATATAATGATCAAATTTGTCACTGCTTGTTCAATAACGTACATATATAATTGACTCGTATTTTTCTTCTCCAAAAAAAAACCTATTATACTTCAATATTTGTCATGTAATTGTTTTTTTTTTTAGGGGAATGGAAACTTACAAGTGACAAAATTAGGCAAACATTTTTCTAGGGTTTCACAGTCAAATATGATGAATATTTATATTGTGATTACTAAAAAGTTTATGAAGTAAGGGAGATTCTTTAATAAGTATTTAAGTTGAGGATTACTTACATACTTCTAGTCTCGACCGTTGGATTGTATCTAAGAGACTATAAACACATTTAATGAATGCAATCCAATAGTCAAGATTAGAAGTATATAATCAATCCTTAACATAAAATCCTTATTGGAGAATCTCTCAAGAAGTAAAAGAGTATTGAGCTCAGTCATAAATTGATAAATTGTCCAAATCAAATTGCATAATGGTGGTTAGTTCGATTTAATGTATTCGGACCAGACTGTATCCACCCCTAAATTAAATTCTTAACCTTTTTTCCACTAGGGTAGGAGATTAGGAATATAAAAAAGTTGATATAGATCCAAATTCCTATTGAGAAGTTGAGTTTAATCCTCAGATTTGGTGACTTTGATCCAAGTCTTTTGACTTTTGTGTCACATAGAATTACATTCATTTTTAAATATTTTTTTGATGTAATCTTTTTATTATTTTATTTTTAAAATCATTTTTTGTTCCAATGTTGCCCCTTATGACTTGAATTGGGTAATAATCATTTATGTCATATTGCCTATTGCCTATTGCATAGGTATATATATGTTGTTTCATATTTTCGACAATGTGTGATAGTATTTTATGTACCTTTTTATTTTATTTTATAGGTAACATACAATTTTATTTTGTCTATTTTTGTATCTGACTTATATTTAGTCTTCTAATTTATTTTCCTAACTTATAAGTAACATTATTTATCACTAAGTATGTTCGTTGCTAGTAATAACACTATTTACCTATATGTTAGGTACATAATTTAATGTGGGTGCTTGTCTGATCGACTGGTATAATATGTGGATCTTTATTTTATCCATATATTAGGAAAATCATCAAGAAAAAAATTCAAAATTTAAATTTTGGAATTCAATTACAAGGAAATAATGCATTAAATTTAGATTTTCAATGTATTTTCCTTATTTACCTCAAAGGGTAAAATCGACACAACAAAAAAAGTAATAAATGTCAAAGGACCTACATCTAAAACAAAAACCGCAAGGACTAAACCCAATGACAGCTAATCGTTTTGGACCTAGATCTAAGAAGCCCTTAGGAATATACTATTTTTCCAGAAAAAAAAAATGTGACGTGGGGCAAAAAGAGTGGCACAATTTAATTTAATTTAAAACGTGATGCATGAATGGAAGTCCGCACCACACATATCCCCTCTTTGTATTCCAAGCTCTGCCATCTCACCAACACCAATCTTCTTTGTATCAGTAGTTTCTTTTTCTCAGGCTCAGCCATGGACAATTTAGCCTACTCAATCACTTCATCTCACGATTGATTCTCCGAGCTTCAATGTCGGCCGCGGCTCTTTCTCTCCTCCCCTCCTCCTCTCCCCACCTTCTCTTCCCACCGTCTTCTTCTTCTTCTTCTTCTTCCTCTTCTTCCTCTTCGTTTGTATTGGGCGGGACCCACTTAAGGACCCACAAGAGCTTCGTTTCTCTTCATTCTTGGTCGCCGTCTTCTTCTTCTTCTACCACTTCGTCATGGAAATTCAACACGAAACGCCGCGTTGGGATTGTTTTTGCTGCTTCTGGGGATTACTATGCCACTCTTGGGGTTCCCAAATCTGCCTCTAGCAAGGAAATCAAAACCGCTTATCGAAGGCTTGCTCGCCAGGTACTTATTTTCACCCCCTTTTGGAAAAGAAAATTAATCCGGAAATTGTGAGTACCTGAAGTTCCAATTGTCGGTTATCATGTGATTATGGATAATTTTCTCAGCAACCAAACAACTGTTAACTTGCAATGTCAATAAAATTTAATAGATTAAATGACAGCAAAATACATCCTTTGACATCCACTTTGACTCAGCGAGTCATGTGTCCCGTACCACTTGAATTCTTTTGGTATAGTAAGAATTTTTAAGTAAGTTTACAAAAGATTTGGCTTGCTTTTAGGCACGTTGTATCTTTAAAATTCAGCGGTATGATTTTCTGTTAAGAGGAGGGACTTGCAGCGGAAATTCGGATCCCATTGTAGTTGATCTTGTGCTTTTGACTGTCCAAAGTTAGCATTATTCTTCCATTATGTGATACAATAGAGAAGCATAGGATATTTGCTTCTCCTTTGATGCTAGCTTTTCAAAGTAGTAATTAGCACCATAACCATTCATCTTATAAGTTTGAATGTAATCCTGACCTTCTATGTATTATTATGCTCTCAAGTACCACCCTGATGTAAACAAGCAACCAGGAGCAACTGAAAAGTTTAAAGAGATAAGTGCTGCATATGAGGTATGAACATCTTTTTCTTTTTCTCTTCTTTCCTAAAGACATGCTTGTTGCATATCTATAGAAAGTGATGACCTTTGTAATATACGATAGGTTTTATTGTTAATGCATTTTAATCGAAATATTTGAAAATGCAGTTGGTGCATTCTAGTGGCTATACTTGTGGTACTTGTTGTTCAATTAGCTTTTACTGGCATACATTGGTTAAATGCACAAAAAACATATTTACATGATAAAAAAAATATCAACATTCAATCCGATCCTTCTACGTATCATATATGGACTGTTATCATGTAGGAGGTTTTGCCTTAAAATCTTGTATTTCCTGGTATTTCACCTTTTCCTCCTTATTTTGACTTTAGTTAAATGCACAAAAAAATATTTACAGGATAAAAAAAATATCAACATTCAGTCCGATCCTTTTACGTATCATATATGGATTGTTATCATGTAGGAGGTTTTGCCTTAAAATCTTGTATTTCCTGGTATTTCACCTTTTCCTCCTTATTTTGACTTTAGCATTAAAACCTCATTTTAAATTTATTGCCTAATATTTGATTTTGTAAATGTGGTTCACCTTTTTCTTTCCTATATTGTTTCCCTTTTAAATTATAAAGGGGGTACTGTCAACAGAACTGCAAGAGAAGCATATGCTGCATATCTCTAAGTTAGACTCTGAATCAGTGAGCAACATCCACCTAAACTTGTGCCTACAGTGCCGACAATAGCTCAACTCATCTTAGTTATTCTTATTTGTATTAGTGCATATGCTCATCATCTTTACAAGCATGACCTCCATCTCTATGAATGACACAGTGAGGATAAAAACCAACAATCAACTTCCCACTTTCACTAATAATGCAGTCAGATTGTATTTCTGGATTTTCCTTCATTAACAGGATTCTAATTTTGAAACATGCATAAACTCTCTTAGTTTGCAATCAGTGAATATTGGGTTATATGCTCTTTTTGCTTATTCTCCCATGAAATACATTATCGTGCTCATCTTTTCTTTTTCACATTTATAATATTGTCTGTTGAATTCTGAAGTACAACCCTGTCAGGTGCTATCAGATGATAAGAAGCGAGCTTTATATGATCAATATGGTGAAGCTGGCGTTAAGAGCACTGTAGGGGGATCTTCAAGTGCCTATACGGTATTGGGTGTAGTCGCAGATTCTTTTTCCTAATTTCATCTGATAAATAAAAGTGTGGCAGTCACTTGATGCATGTACAAAATCGCATCTACATGTCAATCATATCGTTGCACACCATGCAGCGTCCAGTTTTGGACGTATTCTGATGCAATGTGGCCTCCGTTTGGTCATTCTCCTTTATGTATATAAGGTTATAAGCATGATGGTAAACAACAACAAACATGCGTCTTCACACACACACACATCTTTAGAGATAATAAGAGGCTGCTTTGCCCCAGAGTCATCCAAAAATAGGGAATATTTTTCTCATAAATAACCTTATTTAATTTTTAAGGTATATATGTTACTTCCTCTGCAACATTCTTTACGTAGCAGTATTATTTGAAAAGGTATATGCTACAGTCTCTGCAATTTTCCCTACATAGAGGAATTATTTGGGAAACATACCAATCATTTAGAGTACTTATGTTAGTTTTAGTTAATTTCTGGTTTGTTTCTGGTTAGTTTTAGTTACTTTTAGTTTTATATTTGCATTGATTCTTGGTTGATATTCTTTCTGAGTTCATATGTCCACTAGTTTCCCTCGATTGAATGGCCCGTAGAATGTATGTATTTTATTAGCATATGCTGATCACCTGAAATGCATGCCTAGTTTCCCTTTCACCTGCAGTCCATGGGAGAGAATTGCTTCCCATTTCCTTTATGCAATATCAATTTATTTCTTCGAAAAGTATTAAAATCAGAAAAACCGCATTTAGCTGTTTCCTCGACCGTTAATCTGAGTTCTTTGCTGAATGTTGAATTTAATTAAATACTATATTCTTCTTATTCTTCAATATGGGTAAAAGATGTTATTTGTTTACATAATTGTTAGGTACCTGAATAAGAAAGTATAGAGCTGTGCAAGGTTTCTCTAATCGTATGCTTAATGATAATGCTGATAGAAAGTTCAAAATTTACACGGTTTTACTCTTATTTTGTTGCAGACTAATCCTTTTGATTTATTTGAGACATTTTTTGGGCCGAGTATGGGTGGATTTGGTGGTATGGATGCTGGTTTTGGAACACGTCGTCGTAGTACTGTTACTAAGGGTGAAGATATACGGTGAGTCATGACTCCTAATGTTGCTGAAAATACATGTGTTTTGATAACCACCAGTTGCTACGTTCAGCAAATATATTCACTTGATACTTAAGAAATTATATGTAAAACAACTGTTTGTACATGTTGCTTAGTTGTGTGGCCTGATTATGTCCATACCAATTTGCCACATAGTAAAGTTAATAAGTTAGTTGTTAATTAGTTGCATTTGAAGTTGGTTCTTAAAGTAGTTATAACATACAATCAACTCAGGATAGATAGGATAGCTTTGTTCTTTACAGAAAACTTTCTTTATGATGATAAAAATATTATGAAATTCTTATTTTAATTCAATCCATTATATTTCATATTTTCCTCGTCTTTTAGTATAGTATCTTTCCCTTGTTAAAAGTAAGGCTAAATTATTAGGATTACTAATGGATGTCCGATTAGTGATTTTGTTGTCTGAGCCGAGATGTGGCTAAGCAATGATTAAGAAAATAAGTTTGGAATTGGTTGATTGCTTGAGAAGATTATTTTCATGTAAATGTGTGGAAATTTCATTTTCTTGGGTTGTTATGATGGGTCTTGAGTTGCTTTCAGTAATCACAAGCACAGTTGTAACTTGTCCTTTATTAACCTTATTTGATAACTTCCATCATGCCTTATGCCACATTGTTCACATGTATAATCTCTTACTACCACTTCTTACTGTTTGCAACATGTTATATCGCTCCTAGTGATTTGTGGTGATTTGTCTTCATTGTCTTAGACATTATCTTCCTTCTCATATTGTTCAGTTATTGTTGTGATACAAAATGAATATACCATGGACGACTTCTTAGTTGACTCCTGGTCCAAATATGTTCAGTTATGACATCACTTTAGAATTTTCTGAGGCTATATTTGGAGTGGAAAAAGAATTTGAACTTTCCCATCTGGAAATATGTGAAGTTTGCACTGGGACTGGCGGGAAAATAGGTTCCAAAATGAGGATTTGTTCTACTTGTGGTGGGAGGGGTCAAGTTATGAGAACAGAACAGACACCTTTTGGCTTGTTTTCGCAGGTAACTTTGGGCTTCTGGTTTCTATGCCTCTGTTGATATTTTTTTTTCACTTTTTAAACTATGCATCTGCATATCGAATCAAAATCACAAAAAATTCATCTAGTGTGATAAGTGCTTATAGTAAAGTTCTCATGTTTTATCTCTTAGTTTTTTCACTGCTTAGTTGCCTATGGTTTATAATTTGTGCAGTTTTGTAAACATATTGAATTCACATTCACTTCACTGATTGCATTTCTATAGAGTAGCTCGACTGTAAAACTGTCTCTGTGCTAGATAGCACCAATTGGGGATAAGACAAGAAAATATTGGTGGAGGTGTAAATTTTGATGTGATGAATACGTCAATGAGGAATGATATGGTTCATTAAAAAGGTGCTCTCTGCGCATAGGAAGGCCAAATAATGGGATGACATAATGGCCAATTCTTTACCTCGTAAATGGAACTTATTGCTTTAGTGGCATCATTTAGCTTTACATGTTCATGAATGTTATGAATCTATGATACATCTGATATATTCCCCAAGTAGTTACTGCTAAGGGCATATTTTTATGTTTATATTGCATTACTCAATATATCTTCTGTGCAAAAATAGTTACATGATTGTTTGAGTTCTTTCTGTTCATATTAGGTTTCTGTATGTCCAAATTGTGGTGGAGACGGGGAAGTCATTTCTGAATACTTTCGGAAGTGCTCTGGTGAAGGGCGTGTTCGTGTTAAGAAAAATATTAAAGTTAAAGTTCCTCCTGGTGTTAGCACTGGAAGCATTCTGAGGGTTGCTAGAGAGGGAGACGCTGGGCCAAGAGGGTAGGTGGTTTTGTTTTACTTTTTTGATCTCCATTACTTTGTTTATGTGCAAGGTAGATATTGCCAGTGTTTATGAAATAGAAATGCATGAGAGATTTATTTAGGAGCTACATATTCTCATCATTCATGCTTTTCAAGTATTTAAAAATCTCATAATCAATATTTAGAAATGGAGAATTGTTATACAGATTTTCTTTGATTGCAATATAACTGCTTTGTAGGAGCACTATTTATGCTACAAAGTTTGTAGAAGGCTCATCGGTCAAAATCACAAATAGGATTAGAACAGAAAAATCATGTGAAGATTCTCATAAGAAAGAAAAGTTCTATGAAGATGATTGAGACTTTGAAGACTTATTCATCTTGTTTGTATAGTTTATTTCCCTATTTCTTTTCTTGCTCCTGTTGTTCTATTAAAATTTATGTCATATGGACTTTTGCATATGTGTTGTGTCAAATTTGTATCTTGTTTTAAGCCATTCTCTTGTCTGCTTCCTGTCATGTTGGTCTCTGTACTGTAGGGAAAATGTAAGCCGTTGTTTTACCTAGTTCAATGTGTTGAGGATTTCATATTCTTAAGAATTTTATTCTCCAGTATTTCATCATTTCTCGTATTTTTGCGTGCCAGCCCCTCTGACAGAATATTAAATGTTTTTTCTTCCAAGAGGGAGATGTACTTGTTTTGGCTGAAAGATAAGATGTATTCAAAGCATTCACATATTATATATTTGGGCATATAACATCAGTGTTCATATATGTCTCATATTGTGATACATGGTTTAGAATCATTTGTTTATCTTGTTATTCCATCAGGGGCCCTCCTGGGGATCTTTATGTATATCTTGATGTCGAAGAAATGGAAGGAATTCAAAGAGATGGCATAAATCTCTCCTCAACAGTTTCTATCTGCTATCTGGATGCCATATTGGGGGCTGTTGTTAAGGTATAGTTTGTATTTCTATTGAGCTTCCAGTTTAAAGGTATGCTGTTTTTAATGCTTTGGAGTAGTAAAATTGTGAAGTATACATGCTATATGACTTTCAACATTTAGTTTTTCATTAAAGCTACATCTCCATAACGTAATGCTCCTTCAAAACTACTGTCAGTATGACATGTGGAAGTGGCTATTATGTATCTACACTTATGACTTGAGACCTAATAATTCCAGATTTTCCAATATGTCCTTTTGTCATTTCCTTCTCAGCTTTTAGAAGCTGGAATTCTATTTAATTTCTTTCAACCAACATCTTGAGTTCAGAGATTTAAAGGGTTTCCCTTAGTCTGGAATCCGCTTTTTTTTCCCTCTCTTTTTGCCCCCCTATTGCTCACCAGTACTTTTTGCATGATCAATTGATTTGAATTTCTGGCAGGTAAATACAGTCGAAGGGATTGCGACACTACAAATCCCACCAGGTACCCAACCTGGCGACATTCTTGTCCTGGCTAAAAAAGGAGTACCAAAGCTAAACAAACCATCAATACGTGGTGACCACATATTTACGATTAAAGTAACAATACCAAATCGTATCAGGTATACAGGTGTCTCTTTTTCTCGTTGTTTTCATTGTAACTGGTTAGCTGTAGCTGATAGTGTCACAGATTCATCTCTCCCCAGATATACGCACTGTTACAGATATAAACTATTCTAAGTGTTTAGTGTATGCTTTGTGGCAATATTAACTCTTCTAGCAGTAGAACTTCGTTATGAAATAAAAAGCACATGAACATGATTAAAGGATAAAATTTAAAAGAAACAGAAATATGGTAGTAGCTTCTGAGTAAAAGGACTAAATTTTTTCAAACAAACGATAAGAGAAAAGGGAGATGAACACTGTTGAGAGGAAGAGTGTCAGCTACCATCATACCTAGTCATGCTGTGGAAGCACATTCATGCAGACAAAAATGAGTCGTGTTTGGATGGGAGATAGAGACTGAGAGACTCAGGGTGGCATTTTTGTTTGCTCAATGAAAAAAGCCTCACAAGTAATGCACATCAAAGAGATCCTTAAGTTTCTATTTTCTTGTAAAGTTGTAACCTCTAAACAATGAACATTTTCATTGAAATTTTAACCATCGGATTGTTCGTTCCTTTTTAGTGCCAATGAGCGGGAACTGCTTGAAGAGCTTGCTTTACTGAATAATACTACCACCAGACGTTCACGCACTCGCCCTAAAATGCAGCCAGCTAGTAAGTAATCACTTATCATCTGAGGATGTGTTCTCTGTCTGTGAATGTTGCAATCGGTGGATGTGATCAAGTCCTTTCGTAAACCTTTTTCGAACTCTGAACTGGGGTGAATTTAATGTAATTAATCATCAGATTTGCATGACAGAACACCTTATACTGTTTCGGGTTCAGTGTACAGATTTATCTGACTTGAATTTGTTCCTTTGCTTCTGTAGCAAATAATATAGAACCTGAGGTGGGAACAGTTGAGGAGAAAACAGATGAAGGAGAAGATCAAAATGACCCATGGAAGAAGTTAAAAGACTTTGCTGGGTAATAATCTCTCTCTCTCATTTCTTCCAACTACCGAGTATTAATACTACTTATTATGGTCATTAACTACTGAGTGAAAATTTAAAATCTATTTCCAGACAAGGCTAAAAAGATATATAGAAAATTTGGTTGCTACCAAATTTCCTTGTGCTATTCTGTTTTAAACCTGGCATATCCAAACATGTATAGTCTGCAATTGATCCCAAGCTCTCGAGATGATATATATTCTGTTTTCATGTGTAGAGTATTCTGTTCTTCAGATGCATTACTTTTATCTTCTCTTCATTAATTATTGTACTCATCATGTGCAATGCAATTGACCAAACAAGTATTTGGAATACGCAGGTCTGTGGCAAACGGTGCTCTAAAATGGCTGAGAGACAACCTCTAGTCTGGTGTGTTTATGAGGTCCACTCCAAACTTAGTCACCGTTGACCAAAATTTGGCTCTAGATTTTTCCTCTTTCTTCCAGAAAGGGTACTGGATGGGCGGTGCCGTCAAACATTTCTGACGCCTTACCAAACTTGCCAGCAAGTGAAGACATTGAATGTGCGGTAGCGGAGGTTTTATTTGGTCTACTTGTAATTTAACATTTGTGAGATGCTACAGAATCACCTGGTAGATGCATTTACTGATTTATATCATTGAAGCAGCTGGTTAGAGGGGCACATGAATATTTGATTTTTTAGTTAATGTACCTCATTTTCAGAGCAGTTTATTGAATTTCTTGTGATAGTTATTTGTTGTTGGAGTATTACAATTAGTTGGTGAGGCTTTTTGTAAGCGTACCATTGGGCTCTTTCTGAGAAAAGTACAGATGACTTCAAATCAATTATTATCACGATTTTGTTTTCATTAAATTGTATGAAGAGGAATGCTTCCCAGTCTCCATTAGGAAAGTTTAATCTTTTTGTTACAACTTGAATTCTCCTTTTTCCCCTCTATAATGAAATTGAATACCATAAAGGAAAATGCTAGGGAGAGCACATTTATACTTGATGGAAGTTGAGCTGTACACGTGTCAAAGAAGTTCTTAACCATATGGGTGAATTTTAAGGTATGCAAAGTAAAATTCACCAAAATGGTTAATAGCAGAGAATCAAAGTAGTTCTTAACCACTTGTTGATTTCAGCCCTTTATTTATTTATTTGAATAAGAGGCTGTTCAGAGGATGCTTCGACCAAGCAAACAAGAAAAGAATAAGGGAACAAGGTAGGGGAAAGAAAAAGTAAGGAACTAAAAGAAAATAAAACAAACAAGTTAGGGAAGGGATAAATTCTGTTCTTGTTGATTGGCAAGTGTGTGTTTGTTGTTGTCGCGGTGCCTGAATTGCCTTACAAGCATTCTTCAGCCTCAGCATTATAAAACTAGCTGGGGAGAAATGAGAATGCCTACGACAATTCCCAACACCACATACCTTGTTATCATTTGCATTAAAAGATTTCTTCCTTTCCCTTTTCCTTTTCCTTTTCCTTTTTCTTCCACTAGAAATCCAATTCTAGAGCAAACAAATGGCTGAAGCACTCATTTCCGTGCTCATAGAACAATTGGCCTCAATCATCCAAAAACAAGTACAACAAGAGGTCAGACTAGTTGTGGGTGTTGAGAAAGAAGTGGCAAAACTCACCCGCAATTTCGAAACTATTGAAGTTGTGCTCAAGAATGCAGAGGAGAGGCAGGTGAAGGAGATGGACGTGAGACAATGGCTGGAGAGGTTGAAGGATGTATCCTACGAGATGGACGACGTGTTGGACGAGTGGAGTACTGAAATCCTAAAACAACAAATTCAGCAACAAGAAAAAGAAGCTGGTAATGCTGGTAGTACTAATACTACCAAGAAGGTATGTTTCTGCATTCCTGCCCCTTGGTTTTGTTTTGGCCAAGTCAGTCAAGTAACTCTTCGTCGTGACATTGCTGTGAAGATAAAAGAACTAAATGAAAGATTAGCTCTGATTGCTAGTGAAAGGCAAAACTATAACTTGCAATACACGAAAAGAGAAATTGAACAAATTGAGCGAGAAAAAAGTTCTTCTTTCGTTGATAAGACATTTGGTCGAGTCGACGAAAAGGACAAAGTAGTAGAAAAGTTGCTGAGTGGCAGTGGTCAAGGAGAGGCGACCTGCCTTGTCATCCCTATTATAGGGATGGGAGGGATTGGCAAGACAACTCTTGCCCAACTTGCCTATAATGATGAAAAGGTTCAAGCCCATTTCAACAATAGAATATGGGTTTGTGTCTCAGATCCTTTTGATGAGATCAAAATTGCCAAAGCCATCATTGAGGGTCTGAAAAAAGAGACCCCAGCTTCAAATGAGTTGCACACTCTAAAGTCCATTATACATGAGTCCGTTAAGGGCAAGAAGTTCCTTCTTGTCCTAGATGATGTGTGGAACCAAGACTATAGAAAGTGGGAACAATTAAAGCTACCTTTACAAAACGGGGTTGTGGGTAGTAGAATATTGGTGACCACACGAAAAGAGGAAGTTGCGAGGATGGTGGTGGGAGCATCCACTGATATTGTCAATTTGGAGGTGTTGAGTGAGGAAAATTGTTGGGCATTGTTCTATCACATTGCACTGGCTGATAGAGAAAAAAATGAGTCTAAAGTGTTAGAATTTATTGGTAAAGAAATTGTCAAAAAGTGCAAGGGCCTGCCCCTTGTTGCAAAGACATTGGGTGGTCTCATGCGCTACAAGAAAACGAGGAAAGAATGGAAAGACGTTTTGAATAATAAGATATGGGAGTTAGACGGGGTTGAGGAACAAGTGTTCCAACCACTGTTACTAAGTTATTATGATTTGGCCCCGGCAATCAAACGTTGTCTTTTGTATTGTGTTATTTTTCCAAAAGATTATAACATTGTTAAAGATGAGTTGATTGAGTTGTGGATGTCACAAAATTATCTTAATTCAATTGGAAACAAAGAAAAAGAAGTGGTAGGCGAAATGTACTTTGATAACTTAGTAATGCGCTCTTTCTTTCAAGAATTTGAGAAAGATGAACTTGGAAATATAACGCAGTGCAAGATGCATGATGTTGTGCATGACTTTCTACAATTTCTAACTAAGAATGAATGCTTAGTTTTGGAGGTTGAGGGTGGTAATACTACTAAGAGAAGAATGGAGTTTAATGGAGATAATAAGTTTCGTCATTTGACATTAATGTTTGCACCCGAAGGTCCACTAATTCTGAGTTCCTTGTGCAACTGCAAGAATTTACGGACTCTTGCAACTTTTGATTCAAAGATTACTAGTTTTGGTCTAGAGTTAATTTCACAAGTAAAATGCCTTAGAACGTTGAATCTGAGTCGTAACTCCTTGAATCTGAGTCGTAACTCCCTGAAAGAAGTTCCAAATGAGGTTGGAGAATTGGTACATTTGAGGTATCTTGATTTGTCCTGGAATTATGGTTTGATGAAATTGCCAGACACTGTGTGTAATTTAATCAATTTGCAAACCTTGAGACTCATTGGGTGCAGTGATCTTGAAAGATTACTTGAAGGCATGGAAAAGCTGATTAACTTGCAGCATCTTCATGTTATGAATTGTGTTTATCTAAAGTTGCCTAAGGAGATTGCAAGGTTAACAAGTCTACGAACGCTAGATGTAGTTCACATCCATGGCGATGATGACGTTGATAACAACAAAGAAGCATTATTCGAGTTAAGTGATTTGAGAAACATGGACCAGCTTCGTGGGAGTTTCCGAATAGAATTTCTGGAGGATCTCAAGGACGTGAGGCAGGCCGAGAAAGCGCATTTGGTGAACAAAAATTGCCTTGTCAGTCTGGAATTCGCGTTCCCCTTTCCTAGAACAACGCATCACATCGAGGAAGGAATAGTGAATGCCTTACAACCACATCCAAATCTAGAATCCTTATCTATTGAATTATACAGTGGCACCACACTCCGGCCCCATTGGATGACGTCGTTAAACAAATTGAGAAGCCTTTACCTCAGAGATTGCATGTTTGTTGAGTTTGTGCCTCCTTTGGGGAGATTGGAGTCCCTTGAAGTACTAGAGATATTCCATTGGCAGAGCTTGAAAAAGGTAGGAGTTGAGTTTTTGGGAATAGATGGAACAATAGAAACACAAACATCATCGTCGTCATCACTTATTTTATTCCCAAGTTTGAAAAGACTTGAATTCGGGTTTATGGACATGTGGGAAGAGTGGGAAGGAATGACAGGGTGGAGTGAAGAAGAGGATTCTCAGAAGACAATTACAATAATGCCCTACCTTTCTTCCTTAGAAATTACTTATTGCGAAGAGCTTAAAACACTGCCAAACTTCTTACAAAATACACCACTGAAGGAGTTGGTCATCAACGACTCTCCAACACTTGCACAAGGTTGCCGAAAAGGCAGAGGAGAGTGGCCCAAAATTTCTCACATCCCAAACATCAAAGTTGGTTTCAAATTTGTACAAAAAGACGGAGTTTACCAAATTGATGATGATGAGACGCCAAGTGCCGCTTCCACCTTTTCTTCTGGTAATGTCTATTAAGATTTCATTTTGTTAATGTCTATCTATATTATTCATTTATCATCACAAATTTTCTTCTTTTCTTTATGTTTATTTTTTTCTTTGGGAAATTCCAAACTGATGATGAAACAAATTTTTTAATTTGGCTTTAAAAAACTCACATGCGGTGGGCGCAAAGTAAAGACAAATATAAAGTCATTGGATAATGTTTTTATTTTTTAAAATTTTGCAAATATTTTTTAAGAGGATATATAATATAATATAATATATTTTTTTAATGGTTTGAAATTCATTGGGTTATGTAGGTATTAAAAAATTTCTCAAAAATTGTCTCGGGCTAGGCCTGGCCCTACCTAGCCAGGCCTAGATCCGTGCCAACAACCCCCATTTCCGAATTCCAGGTATGTAGTACTCTACTGCTTATACGATGAATGTTGTGCATAAATTTTATCTGTTATCTACACTTATTGAAGTTGAAGAAAATTTTGATTTTCTTATGTCAACAGCTGAAGGTATTTTCTGGCATGCAAAGAGGGAAGTCTCATTTGAATTCACACTTTGAAGATAATCGTGTTGGAAGCGCGTACGTTGTATAGTAGGGAAAATCATTATAATATCCGATATGTATGTATATGCAATAATTCAATCATGAACTCTGTTGAGATGTTTTATTATATTATGATCTATGTTGTTATATATCACTCTTATCTGAAATATCAGATAATATGTACAGTATACCCAATAATTCAATCATCAACTCTTGTTTTCAATGCCCATTTGCATTACTTTATGATGTTGTTTCAGTTCCCAATTATAGTTTCACCTCTACCTAAGCTTTCAATATTTTTTATTACATAACTAATTAATGTACATTTCAATGCATCTCCAGAATTTTTTTTATTGTTTACTAATTAAGGCATTTCCCCCCTTATCTTCAAGTTGGTTCTTTGGTTTGAAGTTTGCTATTTCCAATCAATTCAAATACATAATGTATAATTTATGGTTTCTGAAATACTGGGAAAGTTCACTAAAATTTGAGATATTTTACATAGTTATGAAGATGAACCATTACCTGGGTGGGTACCATCAGGTTCCGATGACGAATCGAACATTATCTGAAAGTTGGGATGAATATTGTTGGCGAGTCCTAGTCCTATTCTATTTGGGTTTTATTTATTTTACCTTTTGTGTAGATATTATGTAATTAGGATTCCACTTATTTCCTAATTAAACCCTACTAGGGTTTGTAACCTGTAATATGAATACCTCCTTTCGGAGAATGAAATATATCTGAAAATATTCTACCATATTGTTTGACTTGGTATCAGAGCCGACTTTCTAGTGACCTGTGTGTGTTGTGCCCACCCGTGTTCTACTCTGTGCCCTAATTTCTTTTTAGGGTTCTTGTGCCGTGTTCTACTATGTGCCCTATTTTTTTTTAGGGTTCTTGTGCCCGTGCCTGTGCTGTGTTTATCGTATCTGCTTTGTGTTGTGTTTGTTTCCGCTGCTATCTATCATGGGTGATGATTCCATAGTTGTGACTGGTACTAGTGCATCTACACCGAAGGAGGCACGTCCCTCGCGTGATTACTCTACCCTGATTACATCTGACAAATTGGATGGCTCCAATTATGCCTCTTGGTCTCGTGGTGCGCGTATTACGATAACTAGTCGTCGTATGGCAAGTTGGATCAATGGGAAGAAGCCTGCTCCGTCTCAGGACTCCGCTGACTATACCGAATGGGAAGAAGATAATTGTCTGGTGCAGTCATGGCTTCT